GGGGGGGGGGGGGTAAGTGTTTTCATGGAGCAGCCTTTTCTGGTTCAGTAATGACGAAAGGATTGCGTCAGAGAATTTTTCTGTTGGTGGGGCACACAGTAACTACCGTCTTCACCCGAATAGAACGCCCGGTAATTATCGACGTATGTGGGCTGAAAGTTGTGCCCAATACAGCTATAATGACCAGGCGTTCTACTCGGGTGAAGACGGTAGGACCATTTTCCTTAAACCACCAGTACTTCCTAATGGTGTGCCCATTAACAAGCCACCACAATTTTAGGAAATGTACGGGTCACTACAGGAGCGCCCAAATTAATCAGACTAGAAACATTTCTACTCTATTATTTCCCGCGGCCGATAGCTGGGCCAAGTACTGGTGGCTTAAGAAGTAGTTAAAAAAAAGGACCTCTTGTTCCTGATCCATTCTATACTGGGGAGCGCCAATAGACTACGCTCTTCCCCCTAACACCACGCCACGGCATGATGACTCTACTTGGACCAGATCGGGGTTTTCATACCTTCATGACGATGGGCCATTATGCTCAGGGGGTGACCCCCATCCAGAAAAAATGGTACTGTGATGTGAACAACCTCGAATAGAGCTACGACCTTCTGCACCCGAGTAGAAGGCACGGTCATTACAGCTGTATTGAGAGCAACTTTTAGTCTAGATACAGCGATATTTGGGTGAAGACGGTAGCTACGCACCGCTCTTGCTCTGGCACTGTCTCTTATACACATCTAGATGTGTATAAGAGACAGCACCGCTCTTGCTCTGGCAAGTGCGGTGCACAGTGTTGGTGATGACGGTCTTGACCCGAATAGAATGCACGGTCATTATAGCTGTATTGGAGCCAACTTTGAGTCTAGATACAGGGATATTTGGGTGAAGACGGTAGCTACGCACCGCTCTTGCTCTGGCAAGTGAGCACAGTGTTGGTGATGACGGTCTTGACCCAAAATAGAATGCACGGTCATTATAGCTGTATTGGGGGCAGCTTTAAGTTTACATACATCGATATTGGGTTGAAAATGGTAGGCTACACACCGCTCTTGCTCTGGCAAGTGAGCACCGTGTTGGTGAGGAATCGATCGGGAAGGAAATTGCAGTTTTCCATCTGCTTGTGCATGTTCACGGCATCCACGTACGCCCTGTTTCTGCTGAGCCCAGTGATGATTGTGGAGAAGGCCACTTTGTCGGGTTGAATCCCCTCTTGCTGCATAACTTGGAATAGCCTTCTGCCGGCGCGCCACGTGGCACTCGACTTCATAGCCGCATCGATGACAAGGTTGTATAGGTACAGGGTGGGTTTCAGCCCTGCGTTCCGCATCTTTTGGAGGGAAGATAACGCTTTCTGCACCTTCCCACTCCGAACATGCGCCACGATCAGGGATGCGTACTCGATGTGACCGGGCTGAACACCATCTTCGTGCATGTAGTCCATAACCTCACTCGCGAGATCGTCCCTCTTACACCTCGCCATTAAACCAATTAGAATCTGATATGTCGCTTCATTTGGGCGGATAATTGGTTCGTAGTTTGCTTTCCCGGCCGTCGATTTCTCTCTCATCCAACGAAAGACGTCCATTGCAGAGCTCCAGTTGCCTCGATTTCCCAGCTCCCTCACAATCTGGTTCACATCAACGATGGCTACGCGGCCATCTAGGTCTGTCATCACCTCCCTCACACTCTTACCACCCACCAGTCCCTTTGCTGTGCGCAAATTCAACGCACGGACAGCCTCCTGAACCAGCTGATTATTGAAGTGCACCTTGCTCCCTCTACTGCTCAACGTTTTCCCGGGTTCGATCCATGGCCCAAACACACTCACATCACTTGCCGGCGAGCGATGCAGCAATCCAGACTGTGAAGGCCTGTGCGGAGCAAACGATGACAGCTGCTCACTATCTTTCCCGATAACATTGCCAGAGATCGAAGGATCAAGACACTCACTGCTCCTCTGCCTTTCTCCCTTCTTTTGCACTTGCTGAGTTTTTACCCCCTTGTCGCCTGATTTCTTCACAATATGCCCCTCCTCCCCTTGGTCACGCTTCTCCTGCTGCTCTCCGTGGTAATGTCCGCGTTTCAGCCTCTGCTCTTCCCCTTCTTCTTCTTCTTCTTCTTCTTCTTCTTCTTCTTCTTCTTCTTCTTCTTCTTGTATCTGGAATTGTCCCTGACTCGCAGTGTTCTCTTGCCATTGTCCCGCTCTCGCTGCTTGCCGCGAAAGATGCTGGGTCGCTTGTTGTGGTTGCGCCACTTGGCGCTTCCACTGCTGCTGTTGTTGTTGTTGTTGTTGTTGTTGTTGTTGTTGCTGCTGCTGCTGCTGCTGCTGCTGCTGCTGCTGCTGCTGCTGCCTTTTCTGCTGCTGTTTCTTCAATAACTGCAGCTGCAGCTGTGGAATAGACGGACGCTGCTGAGTCTTTTTACTATCAACCCCAGCCTCGCCTCCTGCCTTCGGTGTCCCGCTTCTGCTGTCAGCCAATTCCGGAGCGGAATTCACTGACACTTTCCTATGCCTTGCTCCTTTGCCGTCTTGTTGAAGTTCTTTCCGCACATAGCTGTTTTCCTTTCCAGCTCCTTTCACCGCCTGCTGGGGTGACTCTGCATCCCTCCATGTGGACGTTGCCGTCTTTTCTTGTCTCTGCTCCGGCCGCTGTCCTGCAACCAAACCAGACCTGCCAGTCAACCCCTGTTTGTCCTTTTGCTTCTCTTTCTTGTCGCGCATATTCTGTTCTATCGTTAGCTTCGCAGCTTCCAGAGCTTCCAGCCACATGGCTTGGACAGGATCGAGCAGCGGCGCGTTTGCCCTTTTCCTCCTGTTAGCATTGCCAAACCGTTCGTTCCGCTTGTTCTGTTCCTTGTCTGGAGTCTGAAGTCGGGGCGGGGACCCAAAAGATGACGATGACGGAGACGCTCCTGTGGAATTGCCCGTCTTCTTCGGGGAACGGATAGGTGGCGCAGTCACCGCCGTTGTTCCCTCCCCACGGGAAGATGTCGCTGTGGACTGGGAAGAAACATTCCCCGCTTCCCTTTCGCTGCCGGCGGCAGCGGGACCACCCTCAGCGACCTTTACACCCCTCCTCCGTTTTCCTGTGGAGGCCACCTCGGGCGAATTGGAAGGCAAGGGCAACACGTCAGGCGCATGAACCGCCCTGCAAACTGACGATGTCGACAAGCAATTATACCGAGCGCTCAGGGAATCTCGAGCCCATCCCGATTCCGCATGCTCCTGCAACGGCGGCGGCGTCGACGAGTCGCTACGGCGCCCTAAGCTAGGCGACTCTGGCGATAGATCAGACGCGAAGCGTCTGCTATGGTCGCCGAGCAGACCGTCGCTGCACCGACGCTTTAAGAAGCAGGAACATTCCACGCAGCTTCCACATCCGCGGACTGAGCACAGCTTATCGAAGACAGGGAGCCTCCCACCTCCATGTGCAGGACCAAGAGGTTGCAGAGCGCTCCTCTGGTGACACAGGCACCAATCTCGACACGCTGCATGTCCCGGACCCGTGTTCGATCGTAGCCGGTGGCTCGTGCAAAGCATGCTCAGAAGTGCACCAGATGTTGCCTCGCGAACAACCGACTGCGCCATCTGTCCGCTGTCGCAGATCAGCAGTCCAACTCCACCGCGTTCTCACAAAAGGGACGGCAATGATCCGTAACGACAAGACGCAGCAGTAACAGCTGTCGCACTGGGAGAAGTCATGGTCACGATGGCCAGATCTACCACCACACGATCAATATGATCTCTCGGACTTCTCTGTGCTTCCAAAGGGATCCACCCCATCCATGCACAAATAAAACGCCGCCACCATACAACTCCTTTCAGCCAGAAGGCAAACACCAACCATGTTCAGCATGCCTGTGCCGGCGGGACGTCAGACACAAATGACAAACTCCCCCTGCAAAGTTCAGCCGTAATCCAGATTTTTTTGACCGCATACGGCGCATAGCATGTTATTTCACCATAGCTGAAGAACAGATTCAGTCGACAGACTCCTGGTGCCTTCAGAGAGGCAACAATTTTGCCAAAAAAAAAAAAACATCGCAAAGGACAAGCACAGGACAGTTCAGCAAAAATCCATGTACCTCTAATCCAGATTTGACCGAAGAGCATGCATGTCACCATAGGTTAAGAGCAGATTCAGACAAAAAGCTCCTGGTGCATTCAGAGGAGGAGCAACGATTTTGAACCAAGAAGGCAGCATAGCAAGGACAAGCAGAGGACAGTTCTGCCAGAGCGAAAAAAAAAAAGAAAAAAAGAAGCAGAGGACGGTTCAGCAAAACATCATGAAAAAGTAGCGCAAGAGCAGAAGCAGCGTTAACAAGAAGACATTCACGACGAAGAGAGAGGAGCAATCAGCAATGTGAAAAGGCAGCCAACAAGACAATGCAGATAGGAGAGTGGCTGGCAGCTCTACGACGTGAACATGAAAACACAAACTTGCTCGTAAAAGGACAAACGCAGGACAGATCAGTTCAATGAACTTCAATCCACTGAAGAGCATTTACTCAAGACTACGGGTACGACTTTCTCGACCGAAACTGGGCATAATTGCGGTCAGATTCAGTATAAAATGAGAAGTCGAGATCAGTGAAAATCCACGTTGATGGCTTGAGGGGAGAAGGAAAGAGGAATGTGACAAGAAGAGTCAAGAATTCCATCCACTTAGAGGATTTACTCGGACTAGGGTTTTGAATCTGGACTTAATTGCGGTCAGACTCACTTACAAAAAAAAAAAAAAAAAAAAAAAAAAGGTTCAGATCAGCAGTCCCCCCCCTTGATAGATGTCTAGTACCACAAGGGCGGGACCAGTGCTTTCCTTTTGCCTAATCTCCCCCCTCCCTTGGACGGATGTTAAAAACTTGCACGCCGGTGATAAGTAACCGGACTGATGCCCCCCAGAATAGAAGGGGCTGTGTTGTTGTTTTTTTAATTAAAAAAAAAAAGCCATGTTGATCCCTTGAGGGGAGAAGAGGCGAGAATTCCATCCACATACCAGCATTTACTCACACTAGGACTTTCTCGACTGAATCCGGACTCAGTTGCAGTCAGATTCAGTCAAATGCTCTAAGACCAGGATTTTGGTCTGGATTTCAGTCAAGAGTTTTTTTTGTCTTCAGATTCCAGATCAGGATTTACGAGGCCTTGATTGAATTGAATTATGGCAAGATGCATGCACTTCAGAATTATGGCAAGATGCATGCACTTCAGAATTATGGCAAGATGCATGCACTTCAGAACTATGGCAAGATGCATGCACTTCAGAATTATGGCAAGATGCATGCACTTCAGAATTACGGCAAGATGCATGCACTTCAGAATTACGGCAAGATGCATGCACTTCAGAATTACGGCAAGATGCATGCACTTCAGAAAAAAGACTGGCACAAAGTTTTAGCTGGCACTTGGGGCAACTTTCAGTCTCAATAGCACCACCATAATAACGATGCGTTGTTCTATTTGGGACGACGATGGTAGGGCCACGCTCCCCCATTACATGTTATAGTCTAAGCTAGCTGAGCACGTATCTGGTCAGTATTTCAACCCTGGTTCCTGATACTTCAAACAGAACACACCATGCAGACGGGCTTGCCCCTTCATCCAGGGACAAAACGGCAAAATGTTCAGGCAGTGCAGGGATGGGCCTGAAACCACAGCATGGTGGGGCCACCACGGCCCCACTGCATGATTTACTCTAAGCTACCTGAGCATGTATCTGCTCTGTATTTCAATGCTGGTTCCTGATACTTCAAACAGAACACACCATGGCACAAAGGTTTGCCCTTTCGTTAAGGGGCAAAATGGCAAAATGCAAGTCGAAAGAAGATTCATCTCTGCTCAAGAAATAATAATAAATAAATAAATCGGCCAAAATCTGCGCTGACCTTCCTTTTCTCGTCTTTTCTTCCATTTGTCTTTGTAACATGCTTGCCGGCGGCACGGTTCCACTAGCACACGAGTCATGATGGCCTATTATGACCTGTGCGGCACTGTAACAAGAGGAAGAAAAGTAATTTAAAAGACCTTAAAAATTAAAAAAAATAAAATAAAATATATATATATATATATATCGTCAAATAGTATATATATATATATATATATCGTCACAAACAGAACTGCCCGGTAAAACCGTAGGCAGAGAGAGAGAAGAGGACAACAATATATATATTGTCACATTGTGAATCAGAGCGCAAAAAAGGGGAAAGAAAAAGGAAAAGGAAAAAACGGGGAGGGGGAAGAGGTAAGGAAAGCTCCACCTGTTCATAACCTCTTACG